TTTTATACTTTGTCCATCTCACAGAGCTGAATCTTTCTCTCTGTTAGGTTGAACATCGTGCTGGGTGGTATGACACCTCTGTATTTCCACATTGTCAACGTGTGTTTGCACTGCACCGTAACCTGCCTGCTGATGCACGTATGCCAGTGCCACGTGTTTGAAAACCGCCGCCTGGCCTTCGTCACGGCGCTCCTCTTCGCCGTGCACCCCGTCCACACCGAGGCTGTGAGTATAACCATAAAGTTACAGGCTGCTCGGGGAGTTTCAGTTATCACATGAAACATATTGAGCTTGACTGTCCTGGCCCACTAGAACTGGTTTCTACTTCAACATCTTAGACAAAGAGGTTCATTCAAAATGATAAATTTTTTCTCCTCTAATTTGAAACGTAGACCACAGGATAGTCACAGGATATTTCACTCATTTGAAATGGTAACCAACAGAGCAATGACTTTTATCCTCTCAAGTCTATCTTCATTAGCTGCTCCCGCTGCTCGTTTGGCTGCTTTCTGTCACACATTTGTCAGACAGCCATTCCCCTTGTTGCCAGGTTTCAAAAATGAAGGTTTTGATTTTCATGAAGCATCAATCTGTGTCTGTGTTTTCTCCTGTATTATGGGATGAGATCATATGTGTCACGGTTCTGGGTCAGTTTGACCCAGTATTTTGAGTTATGTTTTGGTGTGTTTTTGCATTTTGGATTCTTTCCTTATTATGATGCTGATGATGATGAATCTATGTTTCAGTTGTTCAGTTGTTCTTGTTTAGGGATTAGTTCGTAGGTTTTGTGTTCTCATGTTTGTTGCAGGTTTAGTTCAGTGTCTAGTCTGTCTCTGTGTCGTGTCTGCGTTTTTGTTTAGTGGTGTCTTGTTTCCTGTTTTACTCTGAAGGTTCATGTTCCTGTCTTATGTCAGTGTTTCTAGCTTTGCTGTCTCATTAGGTCTTATTCCTCCCAGCTTCCCCTTCTGTCTCTGATTCCTTGATGACTTCCTCGTGTATTTTAGCCCAGTGTGTCTTCGTGTCAGTGTCAGTCTGTTCATGCACCCTGTTATTTTAGCTGCACGTCATGATTCTAGTCTGCAAGAGTCGGTATTGGACATGTTCATAGTCACGTTCTCCAGTCATGTTTCTTTGCACCTTCATGTGCCAGCACTGAGATCTCGTTCACAGTTTCTCATGTCGTGTTCATAGCTGTCCACAGTCATAGTTCAGTCCTGGTCTTCGTTCATAGCCTTAGTTACTCCCAGTTTAGGTTTTTAGTTCTGTCATTCCCATAGTTTATGGTTTGTTATTTTGCCTTCTGTATCAGCCCTGATTGAAGGCTCGCTTTGAGCTTAGCACAAGTTTTGCCTCCAGCGTCTGTGTCGCACCTGGGTCCACCAAACACACACTCCACACGGTCTGCCCTCGTGGGCCGTGACAATATGTCTGGGTGGAGCTGATGGTCTGTGTTCCAGTTAGAAACTGAGTCATTATTGGTAGGCGAGTGGCTCCAGCAGATCCTGGGAACAACATCCAAGATCTCTGTCCAGAAGAGCGCAGTCCTGG